GTACTGGTTGATATACTCCCCAACAGCCGTACGAGAACAGCGCCTCTTCACACCTTGTCCGCCTCCTCATGCCACACGCCAAACGCGCGCATCACGCCGCGCCGCCCCCACTGCCCGTTCCGCAGCCCCGCCATGTGCACCATCACCGTCGGCACGCGGAACCCTGCTCACAGCCCGAGTGTGAAGAGGCGCCGTTCACGGCCACGCGCGCCGTGGCCGGGGGCCGGGCGGTGTGTGGGACTGTGCGGGTCGCCAGGCATGCACAGCCGCTGCTCGAGTGGGGAGAGACCCTCCCACCTGGTTCACAGCCAGAGGTGTGAAGAGGCGCTGTTCACAGCCCGCCCACCTCGCGAGGCGACGTGGCTACATCTCCCCATATCTCCCCGTACCTCCCCGTACCTCCCCGTACCCCCCCCTCTCCCCATCCTCACCTCCCCATGCCTCCCCATACCTCCCCCGATCTCCCCCTCACCTTCCCCCAGACCTCCCCCTGTCCCCCGTTATCTCCACCCACCTCCCCCGATCTCCCCCTATCTCCCACCCCCACGAGGCGGCGTGGCAGACGCGGTACGCCGGGAAGAAGATGCCGTACGGAAAGTGAGAGAAGAGCCACTCGGGGGCGAGAAGCAGCGACGCGCCGGGCGCCTAAGCAGTAGAAGAACCAAACGATCACTTCCTTGAGACACGCACAGCTGCAGCAGCGACGCGGCGGGCGCAGAGGCGTTGCCGGGCACGCGGAGCGGGGCGGCGGAGACGGCGCCCCACGAGTCCATCTTGCACAGGTGGACGACCTTGTCGAGGCTATGGTCTGGCTTGAGCGAGACGAGCCTGCGAGATATGGGGAGATATGGGGAGATATGGGGAGATATGGTCTGGCTTGACCGAGACGAGCCTGCGAGATATGGGGAGATATGGGGAGATATGGTCTGGCGTGAGCGAGACGAGCCTGCGAGATATGGGGAGATATGGGGAGATGTGGTCTGGCTTGAGCGAGACGAGCCTGCGAGATATGGGGAGATATGGGGAGATGTGGTCTGGCGTGAGCGAGACGCGCCTGCGTGCGGAACACACCGACGTCCGGGGGCGGGAAGGCGGGACTGTGCAGACTACGGGGAGAGATGGGGAGAGATGGGGAGAGATGGGGAGAGACGGTGAGGTATGGGGAGAGATGGGGAGAGATTCCGCTTCTAAAGGGACGAGCCGCTGGCGCGCCGGCGCGACATCGCCCTGCTGCTGCTTGCGCGTCCATCGGCCGTCCTGCATGGGTTCGGGTACCGGGTTGGTAGGGTAGGATTCGCGCGCGGCTGCGCATGCGCGTCGATATCGGCCGTCCTGCATCCGCTTGGCTGCCTCCTGCGACCCCTTGTCTTTCTTGAAGCGGGCCTCGTAGAACTCGACGCCGGCCGCAAACGTGGGGGCGCCGTTGAGAGACGACGCGATGATGTCGTTCAGGTTGGCCTACCTCGCCGGCGTAGGAATGGGACGAGTGGGGAGAATGAGAGTGCGAAGAGAGGGAGAAGAATGGGGTGAGAGTCTTCAAGCACGGCTGATACACTCATCACAACAAGAGTGACTCAGGCTGGCCTGCTCGTCGGCATTCGCAAAATGCGGCGGCGTCGACCAGCCCGAGGAGGGGAGCTCCTTGACGGACTCTGGCCGGTAGGTGAACCGGTCGATGCGCCGGTTGAGCTCCTCGAGCACCCACGCCTAGGGTTCGGGTGCCGTGGGGGTAGGGGATGGGTTCGGGCACCGTGGGGGTAGGGGAGGCGAGCTCGATCGCCGCGCTGTCGCCGGGCGCCACATTCTGCACGTAAAGGATGCCTAACGCGTGTTGAACGCTCCGAGTCGGCTAGGCGTCCGACCCGCCCACGCACAGCAGCATCACCTCGCCGTGAGGCGGATCTTGTCGACTCCGGCGCGGACGAAGAGGGCGGCGAGGCGGAGCAGCTCCTCCGCCGAGAGGAGCCGCCGCGCGTCCGTGAGCGACACGCCGTCCGCGGGCATGCAGTACGTGCAGCGCAGCGAGCAGCGCTCGGTGAGCGAGATGCGGAGGTACGTGTGGCGCCGGCCAGCCGCCGCGGGTGGAGAGTTGGCCGCGCGAGGCGCGAGGCGAGGCGGTGCGGTGCCCACGTAAATAAGTTCCAGAGCGGAACCTTCCCAGCTCAGCCCGCGCGGCCGCCGAGACGGCGGCGGAGACGAAGCGGCGCGACGAGAGCCGCGGCGGCAATCAGACCGCGCCGACGAGCGGCCCGGCGCCGTGCCGCGCCGGGAGGGTGCATCTAGTGGGCTCGCTGCATCGTGGCATCGCGGCGAGAGGGGCAAGAGCAGGCAGAAGCGCTGCCGCGAGCGAAGCTGAGAGTCTGCCCGTCCGCCCGGTCTGGGAAGAAAACACGCGCGCCTTCGCACTGCCCGTGGCTTCTGGGGCATTCGTAGTGTGAAAAGTGTGAGAATTTAACAACAAAGTATAAGAACCGTCTCTTCACACCTCGAAGCCGCTAAGTCATTTTTCCGCCGCCACGCCGCTCTAGCGGCGCTGCGCGCCGCATTGAGAGCGCGGCGCGTGAACAGGAGCAGACGATGCGCACCGCGAGGGCCGTCTCGTGAGTCGGCGAGCCGAGCCCTGTTCATAGCAGAAAGTGTGAACGGCGTCTCTTCACACCTCGACACCGTGAACGCCGTCCGGCGCCTTCTCACCGCCCCAAGGGCGCTCCGCGCCGTACTAACAGCGCCAAGCGTGTAGCGCAGCACACGCGCGACACGCCCCTCGCACGGCGTCTGATAAAACGGCGCCTCAAGCCCTATCCGGGTCGAAAAGTGTGAGAACCGTCATTTCACACCTCGAAACCGCTAAGTCATTTTTTCGCCGCCAAACCGCTCTAGCGGCGCTGCGCGCCGCAAAGAGAGCACGGCGTGCAGAGGAGCACACGCTGCACACGCACGATGAAGGCCGTCTCACGAGTCGGCGAGCCGAGCCCTATTCATAGCACAAAGTGTGAACGGCGCCTCTTCACACCTCGAGCCGTGAACACCGTCCGGCGCCTTCTCACCACCCCAAGGGCGCTGCGCGCCGTGCAAACGGCGCCGAGCGTGCAGCGCAGCACAAGTGCGACACGCCACTCGCACGGCGTCTGCTAAAACGGCGCCTCAAGCCCTATCCGAGTCGAAAAGTGTGAGAACCGTCATTTCACACCTCGAAACCGCTAAGTCATTTTTTCGCCGTCAAGCCGCTCTAGCGGCGCTGCGCGCCGCAAAGAGAGCGCGGCGCGTGCAGAGGAGCACGCGCTGCACACGCACGGTGAAGGCCGCCTCACGAGTCGTCGAGCCGAGCTCTATTCATAGCCAAGAGTGTGAACGGCGCCTCTTCACACCTCGAGCCGTGAACACCGTCCGGCGCCTTCTCACCACCCCAAGGGCGCTGCGCGCCGTGCAAACGGCGCCGATCGTGCAGCGCAGCACACGTGCGACACGCCACTTGCACGGCGTCTGCTAAAACGGCGCCTCAAGCCCTATCCGAGTCGAAAAGTGTGAGAACCGTCATTTCACACCTCGAAACCGCTAAGTCATTTTTTCGCCGTCAAACCGCTCTAGCGGCGCTGCGCGCCGCAAAGAGAGCGCGGCGCGTGCAGAGGAGCACACGCTGCACACGCACGATGAAGGCCGTCTCACGAGTCGGCGAGCCGAGCCCTATTCATAGCAAAGAGTGTGAACGGCGCCTTTTCACACCTCGAGCCGTGAACACCGTCCGGCGCCTTCTCACCGCCCCAAGGGCGCTGCGCGCCGTGCAAACGGCGCCGGTCGTGCAGCGCAGCACACGTGCGACACGCCCCTTGCACGGCGTCTGCTACAACGGCGCCTCAAGCCCTATCCGAGTCGAAAAGTGTGAGAACCGTCATTTCACACCTCGAAACCGCTAAGTCATTTTTTCGCCGTCAAGCCGCTCTAGCGGCGCTGCGCGCCGCAAAGAGAGCGCGGCGCGTGCAGAGGAGCACGCGCTGCACACGCACGGTGAAGGCCGTCTCACGAGTCGGCGAGCCGAGCCCTATTCATAGCACAAAGTGTGAACGGCGCCTCTTCACACCTCAAAGCCGCGAAGTCTTTTTTTCGCCGTCAAACCGCTCTAGCGGCGCTGCGCGCCGTGTGGAGGGCGCGGCGCGAAGGGAGGAGCACGCGCTGCACACGCACCGCGAAGGCCGTCTCTTGAGTCGGCAATCTGCGCCCTATTCACAGAATAAAGTGTGAACGGCGCCTCTTCACACCTCGAGCCGTGTACGCCGTCCGGCGCCTTCTCGCCGCCCCAAGGGCGCTCCGCGCCTCGCAAACAGCGCCGAGCGTATAGCACAGCACACGCGCAGCACACCCACTGAGCGGCCTCAGTAAAACGGCGTCTCAAGCCCTATTCGAGTCGAAAGGTGTGAAATTCGTCTCCACACCTCCAAACCGCTAAGTCTTTTTTTCGCCGTCAAACCGCTCTAGCGGCGCTGCGCGCCGTGTGGAGAGCGCGGCTCGTACAGAGGAGCACGTGCTGCAAACGCACCCCGAAGGCCGCCTCGTGAGCCGGCGAGCCGAGCCCTGTTCATAGCATGAAGTGTGAACGGCGTCTCTTCACACCTCGAGCCGTGAACACCGTCCGGCGTTTTCGCACTGCCCGTGGCTTCTGGGGCATTCGTAGTGTGAAAAGTGTGAGAATTTAACAACAAAGTATAAGAACCGTCTCTTCACACCTCGAAGCCGCTAAGTCATTTTTCCGCCGCCACGCCGCTCTAGCGGCGCTGCGCGCCGCATGAGAGCGCGGCGCGTGAACAGGAGCAGACGATGCGCACCGCGAGGGCCGTCTCGTGAGTTGGCGAGCCGGGCCCTGTTCATAGCAGAAAGTGTGAACGGCGTCTCTTCACACCTCGACCGTGAACACCGTCCGGCGCCTTCTCACCGCCCCAAGGGCGCTCCGCGCCGTACTAACAGCGCCGAGCGTGTAGCGCAGCACACGCGCGACACGCACCTCGCACGGCGTCTGCTAAAACGGCGCCTCAAGCCCTATCCGAGTCGAAAAGTGTGAGAACCGTCATTTCACACCTCGAAACCGCTAAGTCATTTTTTCGCCGCCAAACCGCTCTGGCGGCGCTGCGCGCCGCAAAGAGAGCGCGGCGCGTGCAGAGGAGCACGCGCTGCACACGCACGGTGAAGGCCGTCTCACGAGTCGGCGAGCCGAGCCCTATTCATAGCCAAGAGTGTGAACGGCGCCTCTTCACACCTCGAGCCGTGAACACCGTCCGGCGCCTTCTCACCACCCCAAGGGCGCTGCGCGCCGTGCAAACGGCGCCGATCGTGCAGCGCAGCACACGTGCGACACGCCACTTGCACGGCGTCTGATAAAACGGCGCCCCGAGCCCTATCCGAGTCGAAAAGTGTGAGAACCGTCATTTCACACCTCGAAACCGCTAAGTCATTTTTTCGCCGTCAAACCGCTCTAGCGGCGCTGCGCGCCGCAAAGAGAGCGCGGCGCGTGCAGAGGAGCACACGCTGCACACGCACGATGAAGGCCGTCTCACGAGTCGGCGAGCCGAGCCCTATTCATAGCACAAAGTGTGAACGGCGCCTCTTCACACCTCGAGACCGTGAACACCGTCCGGCGCCTTCTCACCACCCCAAGGGCGCTGCGCGCCGTGCAAACGGCGCCGAGCGTGCAGCGCAGCACAAGTGCGACACGCCACTCGCACGGCGTCTGCTACAACGGCGCCTCAAGCCCTATCCGAGTCGAAAAGTGTGAGAACCGTCATTTCACACCTCGAAACCGCTAAGTCATTTTTTCGCCGTCAAGCCGCTCTAGCGGCGCTGCGCGCCGCAAAGAGAGCACGGCGCGTGCAGAGGAGCACGCGCTGCACACGCACGGTGCAGGCCGCCTCACGAGTCGTCGAGCCGAGCCCTATTCATAGCAAAGAGTGTGAACGGCGCCTTTTCACACCTCGAGCCGTGAACACCGTCCGGCGCCTTCTCACCGCCCCAAGGGCGCTGCGCGCCGTGCAAACGGCGCCGGTCGTGCAGCGCAGCACACGTGCGACACGCCCCTTGCACGGCGTCTGCTAAAACGGCGCCTCAAGCCCTATCCGAGTCGAAAAGTGTGAGAACCGTCATTTCACACCTCGAAACCGCTAAGTCATTTTTTCGCCGTCAAGCCGCTCTAGCGGCGCTGCGCGCCGCAAAGAGAGCGCGGCGCGTGCAGAGGAGCACGCGCTGCACACGCACGATGAAGGCCGTCTCGTGAGTCGGCGAGCCGAGCCCTATTCATAGCACAAAGTGTGAACGGCGCCTCTTCACACCTCGAGCCGTGAACACCGTCCGGCGCCTTCTCACCGCCCCAAGGGCGCTGCGCGCCGTGCAAACGGCGCCGAGCGTGCAGCGCAGCACAAGTGCGACACGCCACTCGCACGGCGTCTGCTACAACGGCGCCTCAAGCCCTATCCGAGTCGAAAAGTGTGAGAACCGTCATTTCACACCTCGAAACCGCTAAGTCATTTTTTCGCCGTCAAGCCGCTCTAGCGGCGCTGCGCGCCGCAAAGAGAGCACGGCGCGTGCAGAGGAGCACGCGCTGCACACGCACGGTGAAGGCCGCCTCACGAGTCGTCGAGCCGAGCCCTATTCATAGCACAAAGTGTGAACGGCGCCTCTTCACACCTCGAGCCGTGAACACCGTCCGGCGCCTTCTCACCGCCCCAAGGGCGCTGCGCGCCGTGCAAACGGCGCCGGTCGTGCAGCGCAGCACACGTGCGACACGCCCCTTGCACGGCGTCTGCTAAAAAGGCGCCTCAAGCCCTATCCGAGTCGAAAAGTGTGAGAACCGTCATTTCACACCTCGAAACCGCTAAGTCATTTTTTCGCCGTCAAGCCGCTCTAGCGGCGCTGCGCGCCGCAAAGAGAGCGCGGCGCGTGCAGAGGAGCACGCGCTGCACACGCACGGTGAAGGCCGTCTCACGAGTCGGCGAGCCGAGCCCTATTCATAGCCAAGAGTGTGAATGCGCGCCGTGTGGAGAGCGCGGCGCGTACAGAGGAGCGCGTGCTGCAAACGCACCGCCAAAGCCGCCTCGTGAGCCGGCGAGCCGAGCCCTATTCACAGCATAAAGTGTGAACGGCGTCTCTTCACACCTCGAGCCGTGAACGCCGTCTAGCGCCTTCTCGCCGCCCCAATGGCGCTCCGCGCCGCGCTATCAGCGCCAAACGTGTAGCACAACACACGTGCGACTCGCCCCGTGAACGGCGTCTGGACAAACGGCGCCTCGAGCCCTATCCGAGTCGAAAAGTGTGAGAACCGTCTTTTCACACCTCAAAACCGCTAAGTCTTTTTTTCGCCGTCAAGCCGCTGCGCGCGCTGCGCGCCGTGTGGAGAGCGCGGCGCGTACAGAGGCGCGTGCTGCACACGCACCGCCAAAGCCGCCTCGTGAGCCGGCGAGCCGAGCCCTGTTCATAGCAGAACGTGTGAGAATCGTCTCTTCACACCTCAACACCGTGAACGCCGTCAAACGCCTTCTCACCAAACCCAAGGGCGCCCCGCGCCGTGCTCGCAGCGCCGTGCGTGCAGCGCAGCACACGCGCGACGCGCCCCTTGCACGGCGTCTGATAAAACGGCGCCTCGAGCCCTATCCGAGTCAAAAAGTGTGAGAACCGTCTCTTCACACCTCGAAGCCGCTAAGTCTTTTTTTCGCCGTCAAACCGCTCTAGCGGCGCTGCGCGCCGTGTGGAGAGCGCGGCTCGTACAGAGGAGCACGTGCTGCAAACGCACCCCGAAGGCCGCCTCGTGAGCCGGCGAGCCGAGCCCTGTTCATAGCATGAAGTGTGAACGGCGTCTCTTCACACCTCGACACCGTGAACGCCGTCCGGCGCCTTCTCGCCGCCCCAAGGGCGCTCCGCGCCGTGCTAACAGCGCTGAGCGTGCAGCGCAGCACACACGACGCACGCCCCGTGAACGGCGTCTGACAAAACGGCGCCTCGAGCCCTATCCGAGTCGAAAGGTGTGAACATCGTCTCTTCACACGTCGAAGGCGCTAAGTCTTTTTTTCGCCGTCAAGCCGCTCAGACGGCGCTGCGCGCCGTGTGGAGAGCGCGGAGCGTACAGAGGGGCACACGTTGCGTACGCAGCGCGAAGGCCGTCTCGTGAGTCGGCGAGCCGTAGAAAAGATATGTTTTTTTTCCCCCCCTTGTTTTCATCGGATGGCACAACGGCGGAGTAGTTGTCAGTCTCTTGGCACTTCTCGAACATGTTTTTGAGCCATCTCGCCGCCGTTGGCGGAGCTGAGTGCCGCCGCGCACACGGCAAATGTCGCACTCCGTGGGAAACGTCGGCGGCAACGCCGGAAATCATTTTTGAAATAAAACTCACCAGACAACAACGCCGTGCGTAAATGCCAACGAACCGTTTTGCGCTCCTAACCAACAGCAACACACACCCCGGCCGGAACTACTCGTCGGCGGATGTGGACCAGAGCGACGGCCCATCCGGCCCTGCATCATGGGATGCCCGGCTTGGGCGCCGGCGACGACGCGTACGGCCACCCCGAGGGCCTCTTAGCGACGGCAACCGTCGTGCCGGTGGCGGTGCCGGACCCGGTGGCGGGCGTCTTACGCTTGTTGCACGGGGTGGTGGTGGCGCCTTGTGGCAGCGGCCCCGGAGGCGCGGCCGGTCGAGCCGGCGCTGACTCCTGACAAATGCGCACAATCTCGCTTCCGTAAGTGTTCATCTTGTCCATCCCGATGCCGTTGACGAGCTTGAGCTCATCGAGGCTCGTCGGGCAGCGGGCCGCAACCGACCGCAGCACGGAGTTGTGCAGGACGTGGTAGGGCTCAACCTTGTCGGCCTGCGCCCTTTTCGCCCTGAAGGAGCGGAGCGCTGCGAGCAGGAGGCTGTCCGCTTGATCTCCGGCAGCCGTCTGCGGAGGCGCCGCGGGCCTTGGAGGAGGAGGGGCCGAGTTGGTCGCTGGCTGCCGGGCGCCGCAGGAAACGAGCTCCGTGTACGCAGCGTGCGATGTGTCGTGCATGTGACGAATGCGCGACCGGATTGCGCCGTTGGTTCGGCCGAATCGCTTGGCCAGCCTCGCCACGACGGCGTTGACCTCCTGAGTACCGGGAAGCTCGCCATCAGCCTGCAGCTGCACGTGGCAAAGTGCGTGCCAGACCGCCTTGCTGTCGTCGAGAGGCCACTGGCCGGGCATTGCTGTCAACCGTGGCCGATTGGTGGCGCGAAGGGCGGCTGTCAGCTAACCGGCGAGAGCGCGAAAGAGAAATCGTCCGCGGGCTTCGAGGCAAGGAAACTGGAAAATTTATAAAGGAAACTTGATAAAAGAAAGAAAAAGAAGTTTTTCTTTGCTTTGGCCCGACCCGGCTCGCGCTGTACGAGTTGCTCTCGCTCGCGGAGGAGCGTCGCAGTGTGCACCCACGCAACGCCTTCGCACATCCACACCACACTCTGCGTAGCCATGGCATTTCACTCCGTGTGCGTGCGACTCGCACTCGCTCTCTTGCCCTCGCCGCCGCCTTCGCCGCCGCCGCCTTCGCCTCCGTGACTTCGGATCGCTTCCCCATTTCTCGCACTGCCTCGCTCGCCACGTTCGACAACAGTGCACCAGCGCTCGCTTTCTCTCGCTCCCACTCACGCTTCGTGCTTCGCTACTAGGTTCTTCGCATCTACTTGGAGTGGATAGCGTCTGCCGCCTCTCGCTGCTCTGTCCGCTCTGCCACCTCGATGCCGCGGTTGCGACGCTCTGATGCCACTCCCTAGATCGCAGCAGCTCCATCGCTCGTTGCACCAAGGAGCGATGACGAGGCGGCAGCATCGCATCGGCGGTGCCAGCCGTTGTCACGCTCGGCCGCGCCGCCATCTCCACCTCTCTCACCGCCGCCTCAGTCTTCGCCACCACGCGATCGCCTCCGGCGAGCCCGCAAGCACGAAGCCGGCTCTCCTCGCACTCGCGTCGCTCTCCGCCCCGGAGGGATGGCCAGTTAGGTGTGCCAAGGTTGTGTGCGGTTAGGGTTAGCGGTTGCCGGAGCCGCGCACTCAAGTTAGGGTTACGTAGTAACACGCCGCGAGCGAGGGTTAAGCTAGGGTTATACGTCCCCCGTCCACGGCTCGACGAGGGCTCAAAAATCGATAAAAAGGGCCCACCCCGCGAAAAAATCGCGCGCTGCGCGCGCAGGAAGAGAGAGAAGGAGAGAGAGAGTTATTGCCGCCACCCGCGCACCCCCCCCTCTCGCCCGGGAGAAAGTTGACGAGCGGAGCGAGGCAACTCTCCCGGGGCGAGCGCCGGCCGCGCGCGGAAAACGGCCGTTTTCGCCAAAACGGTGGAGGCCGCCCCGCGCTACCGCCCATCAAACCCGCACCGCCCGAAGCCCTCGGGAAGGCCCTCAAAACGCCGACGCGGGAGGCCGAAAATCGCCTCGCTTCGAGCCCGCGCGAGGACGGACCCCACGCCGCCCCACGAGCGACCCGCGCAACCCGCGACCAACAGCCGTGCGGAGAATCGGCAGGAGACGTCCGCAGCCCCAAGGATCGCCCTCGTCCGATAAACCCATCGGCCACCATGACCATCCCCGCGCGCGCTGCAAATCTCCAGGCCCTCTGCTCGACTTTGGACGACCGACTTTATTTCGGGTGCCAAAGCAGCTCGCACGGGCCCATCGCGCCGTCCCCGCCCCCGCCCGCCCCCGCGCGGCAGGCCTGACGCCGCTGGCCTCCCCCCCACACCTCACGGGGCGCCATGACACCGCCTGCCAGGCGGCCTGCAGACAGTGCGCACAGCAGCTGCGCGGGATTCCTCGCCTCCCGACGGCCACGGCGCCGCCCCACCGCCGAAGCTCGCAAAACCACGCACGGCCCCGCCCACACCGCTCATCGGACGCCCGCTCGCGCCGCCCGCGGACTCCTCTCCCGCCAAACCCGCCCCTCTCCTAGCCCCTCCCAGAAGCCGCCACACAGGCCTCGCCTCGCCTCGCGCACCAGCCCCAAAAAGTAGGCAGCCATTTCTGGGGCTCCCAGGCCATTCCCTATCGCTGGTATTTTTTTCCGGCGGAATTTACCGTCAGAACCGCATAAAAAGCTAGCAACAAACCTGCACACGCATGTGAGACATGTGCCGAACTCCCCCCGTCGTGCTGCACTGCGGTAATCTTGGCGTGTTGCTCCGGCGCGCGCCCGTCGAGCAAGTCTAGTCCCTGCTCGTCGCGAGGGAGTGCATGCAATCGCGCACGATCCTATCAGCGAGCAACCGTGCCTCGTCCAACGGCTCCTCCCGTGCAGCGGCTCAAGCCGCGCACGAGACCTGAGGTTCTCGAGCCCCGCCGCCTCGAGCGCCGGCCGCACGCGGCGTGCAAACGGACCCTTCCACTCGTTCCGCTTCCAGTCGTCGATCGGGAGCCAGCCGAGCGGCGAGCCACCGCCGCCGCCGCCGCCCGCCGCGTTGAGGACGAGCACGCGCGAGGCGGGTGGGGTCGCCTGTTCACAGCGGGCGTGCTGTGAAGAGACGCGGCAGGCAACTCGGGCGGTCGGGGGGGCGAAGGCGTGTGTCTTCTCGCCCCGTCCGACATGGTGATGAGCGCCCCGGCGGCCGACTCGGGCGCCACGCGGAGCGAGGCGGCGGCGATGTGGGACACCTGTTCATTGACGGCCTACTCACTGATGAATCCTCCCTTCACGGCCGTGAATACGGCGGCGGATGTGCGGCACGTCCGCGGGCGGGATGGAGGGGGCGACGGCGCGGTAGTCGATCTCGTACAGAAAGTCGACCCCGCTGCACCACGGCTCCTTGAAGTGCGGCATGGGGAGCCAGACGCGCTGCTTGTCCGGCCCGCACCCGACCTCGATCGCCCTCAGGTGACGCGGCTCGATAGCTCGCTCCGCCCAGCGCGCATCCTTTGGCAGCGGCGGCATGACGACGCGCCGGCCGAGAAGCAGGCCGAGCAGCAGCAGCCGCGCTGCAAACGCGTCGAAGTCGGACATTGAGGCGAGGCCCGCCCGCAGCATGTCTGGCCCGGCCTACAAGAGGCATGGCGAGATCTGGGGAGATCTGGGGAGGGAGGCCCGGCCGCAGCAGGTCTTGGCATCGCCACGAGCAGTCGCTCTGTCCGCGGCGACACCCACGTCTCGGGCGCCACCTTAGGGGGGGGGGGGGGGTAGGGGGAAATCGGGGGAGGTGTGGGGGAGGTGTGGGGGAGGTGTGGGGAGGTGTGGGGAGGTGTAGGGATGTCTGGGGAGGTGTGGGGAGGTGTGGGGCAATTTTGGGAAACTGTTTCCCCGTCTGGGAAGGTGCCCACGACCTATAGCACATCAACCCCGTCGGCACCTCAACGGCTCCGTCCCACGATCATGCGGTGGATTCGCGGGATCAGCCCCATCAC